GATCGTAGAACAGCTGCCTGCAGTCCGAAGGTGGTCCATAGACTGCAGACAGGAGTTGAAGGGCCATTTGCAGCGTGGCGCGCTTCGCTCTTGGCGCCGAGGTGAGGGTAGCGAGGGCGTCACTGTCGAGCATCGCCGGTAGCGCGCGTAGCGCCTCGTCATCCATCCATTGTGCCATTTCTTGGTGAGCGAGGAAGCGTCTTCGGAAGCCTCCCCAGTCACCGTCTTCCCCCACGAACTCCTTGAGAGGTGGTAATCGCTGCTGTAACACGGCGTCCGCAGTTGAAGATCGCGCCCCGTCGTTCCCGCCACTCCGTACAGTTTTGGCGGGAAGGGCGGGTGGCATCGGCGGTCACTCTTCTGGTGACACGCCGGCCGCCATTGATGACGTGGCGGTTCCTGGTTGGTGAGAGTCGGTCGCCTGACGTAGCCCGGCTCCGCCCTCAGCACCCACTGTACTGATGGCGGCAAATCCGACTTCCAGGCCCGTAGAAATGGCGGGAACCGGCGCCACGTGTCGTCCGTCGTCGCCCCGTGCCGCTCCTCCAGCCCCCAGGCGAGTAATTTCCTCCAACGTGGCGGCTGCCGCGTAGAGTAGCTCCGCCAGGCGGGAGTGAGCCAGCCGTAGTCCATCAGCCGACGGTCCCCACCTGTCCTGCCGTTGCGGTGTGGGTGGACTCGGCCCCGGTTGCTCGGATTCGCCCTCCGCAATCTCGGGCTCTGAGTCGGCCGAGGTTTCCTCCTCCCCCGGTTCCCTGGTATGAGCCGTCCGTCTTGTATCCATCCTTAGAAGACCCCACTTCTGACACCAGTTGTAGTAGGTTCCAGGAGACTTGGAAGACGTAGTTGGAGGCACACTTATTTATTAAGCACAAAGTACATAACAGGCTGAGATGTACAACACTTGAAGGGGTATCGGCCCCTTCACCCGTCTAACTGGGAGATCCACACTCTATGTCACAGCTAGCCTACTCCTAGGTCCTCCACTACCGGGCTAGGGGAGGCTAGCTAACCCAACCCTGGTTAAGCTGGGATTACGGCATCCCTGAGTCCCCAGACCGGCTCTTACAAGAGCATCGGCTCTGGGCTCTCGGGGCCACGCCACTGGCTTGCCCTGGTCGGTCCTGAGAAGGACAGCGAGCCAGGGGAGTCCCAGGGCCTATCTAGCAGGTCTTCTTGCTTCACTGGTTAAGGCTGAACACTGAACCCCGAGCTCTCCGGCTCACCGCCTTATATAGCAACTCCCCCCACTGAGGGGTGGGGCCGTGGGGGATCCCAGCTCCGTGTCAGCCCCCCAGGCTGAACGGTGCGGACGTCGATGTAAGCGCCTCTCGGCGTACGGGCATAACCACGCCCAGTGTGTTTGTTAAGCCCTCCGTAACACCTCTACACTTCTAATCATTTCAACCTAGGTGTCTGTGTCATGACCCACACAGAGATTAAAGTCAACCAACAGGATGACTCTATCCCGAGGTCATAGAAGGCATCTATCTGACTCATCAGCCTTGTTTGCATCCCTCCACTGATGTTCATCTTTGGTGGGGGCGTAAGTAACCACCACCATTCTTTAACTCCTATGCACAACAGAGGCACACACTGTAAAATAATGAACAAAGCAGACACACATATAAACCCATAGCCACAGACAGCTACACACATAGATACATTAACACAATGTTACAAAGAAATGTACAAGAATAGAGCTTGTATGTCTATGTTGAACTTCTTTTGCAGTGTACGTAGACAACTGTGATAATCGGAGGTGCAGGGGAAAGATAACAAATTATTGCTATAACTGACAAAGATAAATACTATATAGAAATAAACGAAATATTTTAAACGTTTAAAATTGTACAAAAATAATTGGTTTAACTTGTAACTTATGGAAAGCCTAAGGCCCAGGTCTGGGTGAGGTGCTGGGCCTCACCTCAGTCCTCGCCACAAAAACGGCGACATCCAATGTAGAGAAAGAGCAAGGAAGGTGATTTTTTATTAAGTAAAAAAAATACATCCACAAATATACGAATGTACATAGACGAGTACAAATACATCACCACTACAATTCGCCACGTGTTCACAGACATAGCCACACACACTCAGAATGCATCCAAAGATAAAGATCCACCGTATAGCCTTGACTGTTGGGTCAAATGCTGTGAGCAAGTTACATCTAAGAAAGCCAACACGGCACACGAGGAGGTCGGGTGCTCAGCACCACGCCCAGCCGCCGTTGTATCCCCAGTGGCGATATTTACACATTACACTAGCTACTCATTTGAGGCTTAGTCGACATGTGGGAGGCCCAGGACCGGTTCTGATAATTATTCATCGTCACTGGTGTTGGTCCGTGAGTGGGAATCAAACTCGGGTGGCCGGGTTCGTTGAGCACCACGCTAACCGCTGCGCCACCACTCCCAACAATATACAAAGATTCCTCATATAGGATTTAACATACTTCGGGTAAATGGACGAACTGGCGGTACACTCGTGCAGTATAAAAACACGGGTCCTCATGGAACAGTGTGACCGTGTCGCTGTTACCCCTTGAGTGAACTGCAGACTCTCCATCAGACGTTTCACTTCGATTCGTATGGTGGTGTTGGTGACGCCACGAGTCCGAATCTTTTGATGCCACCGTCCGCCAAGAAATTATTATGGAATTAATCGAGGGTACGAGCAGTCAAATCTCCCTTTGGAACACGGAGCCAGCCAATTCTATACGGCAACAGACTGCGAAGCTTCGTGTTCAGCTGCGTCGACATCACGAGAACTGATTTTGACGCACCACAACCACCACCCCACGATATTTTCTGACTGAGGTCTGGAATCAATGGAAAATAAATAATAGTTGCGAAAATTGTACAAATTATTTTTTTGTATCGCGCTACACCGGCGTACCGCCAGTACGTCCACGTGCTGTGAGCGAGCACCGATGAAGGCCAGCACGGCACACGAGGGGGTGGGTGGCCAACACCACGCGTACACCGACACACCATGCGCCTCTCTGCCACCGTGACTGTCAGCAAAGCGCTTGTGCCAAGCTAGGTGCATATACTCACGTGCACATGCTTTGTGAGTGAAGTCTGTCCGTGGCCGGCACTTCGATGAATGATGCTGATGGTGGTGATGATGCTGCTGATGGTGGTGATGATGCTGTTGGGTAGTGTTGCTGATTATGTTGATGATGATGTTGACAATAACAGTTGTGATGACGTTGATATGAATACTGCAATAGTCATAATGGTGATGACCATGGTGTTAGTCGTGATGTTTACGTTGATATTTTAAACCGGTAATGCGCCGCACCGTATTGACTCACTCTGAAAGAGAACGACTCAGAGGCGCGACTGCCCAAGTTCTTCGGTCCTCTATGTATCAAAGTGTTGTCGACTAATTAATCAGTGTTTACATTTGGATGGAAACCAGAGACACCTCGGAGAAAACCCACGCGTGCGACGGGGAAACGCTCTATCCGATTCAGTCGGGATCGGTGGAGTCCACATTTGTTTCTGTACCGCATTCTCCTGGGGAGCCCGGGCACCTCAACACCCACGGGATGCAAATGTGCGTGATCCACCACCCCCCGCCTCCAGCACTGCGTTACAGGCCACGTGCAGAGCCACCACCAAGTGATGTTGAAGATGGTGGCGACGATGGTGGCGATGATTGGGGTAGTGGAGCGGTTAGCGCGCTGCGCTACTAAACCCAGCCACCCGAGTTCGATTCTCGCTCAGGGCCAACACCAGTGACGATTATCTGAACAGGCCCTGGGCCTCCCCTAGGTCGACTCAGCCTCAAATGAGTACCTGGTGCAGTGTGTAAACATTGTCACTAGGGAGACAAAGGTGGCCGGGCGTGGTGTTGGCCACCTACCCCCTTTCGTGCCGTGCCGTGCCGGCCTTCAATAGGTGTTCGATCACAGCACTTGCCCCAACAGTCTGTTAAAGGCTATCCAGGGGATCTTTGTCTTTGGTGTTGATAATAATGTTGATGAAAATGATGGTTTACGAGGATGATGTTAATTGTGATGATGGTGACAACAATGGTGAGGATGCTGGTGATGATGTTCATGTGGTGATGTTGGTGATGAGGATAATGAGCGACTACGATCGAATTACCAATTTGCAGCGTGCTTCCTCCCTCCCTCCGCCACGTGTCAATTTGTGTTGTTGTCCTTCCCCCGTACCTCCGATTAGCACGGTTCGCTACATACGGTGCAAAAGAAGTTCAACATACATATTGTTCACATGCCACCTATTGTCTCTTGCTCACCTATTGCCTCTTGGTCACCTATTGTCTCTTGCTCACCCATTGTCTCATGGTCACCCATTGTCTCATGGTCACCCATTGTCTCATGGTCACCCATTCACATATTCGCATATTGTCTGTTGATACCTGTGTATTTTCTATTGTCCATTGCTACGGCAGTTGTCTATGTTAGTGGACACGGACCGCATCCTCCCATTGCTCACCGCTGCCCGGGTGTTGAGCTATTCAGCATCTATTCCCAACTGCTCCTCCACCATGTATCTGTTACAATGTGCATCGTTAACACGTTGAATCACCTGCTCCTATTGTCTATCGTTCGCCTATGCACAGTCGATTGCTCTGTATCGCCTCTTCTTCCGAATCCCAAGAGTGTCCATCTACTGCTTATTGTCGAGTGTCCATGAGTGACCCGCTGTTTAACGACTCCGCTCCGCTGCCGATTGATTGAGTCGCCTCTGCTCACCGCATTAACGATGTACCGTCCATTCGCATCGTCAATCTCAACCTCGGCACCACCTATGCCGGCATGACCACCACCACCAGCACGATCACTCTCTCTTAACTATTGGCATGTATTCCATGCACACCCATACAACTACACCGACACACACACCTACACATGTACACACACGCATGCACGGACACACCTACATAAGCACACACACACAGAGTGTGCACACACACAGAGGATACACACACACATACCTAAACACGCACACGTCCATACGCACAAAGATCCTCCGTGTAGCCTTAACACGATGGGGTGGGTGGCCAGCACCACGCCCGGCTGCCTTGATCTGCCTCGCGCTCTTCTCACATCACAACAGGTACTCATTTGAGGCTGAGACGACCTAGGGGAGGACCAGGACCGGTTCAGATGATCGTCACCGGTGTTGGCGATGAGCTGGAATCGAACTCGGCTAGCCAGGTTCGTAGCGCATCGCGCTAATCGCTACACTACCGCTCCCCATAACAAGGACTCACACAGCCATTCGTATATAATAAAGACACAGATCCCCCGTATAGCCTCAACAGACTGTTGGGGCAGGGGCTCTGAGCGAGCATCTATTCATATATACACAGCGTGCACTCAACCCACACAGCACTCACCCACACAGCACTCACCCACAGCACCCACACACAGCACCCACACACAGCACACACACAGCACTCACGCGTGCACTCACACAGCGTGCACACAGCACTCACCCACACACAGCACCCACACACAGCACCCACACACAGGACCCACACACAGGACCCACACAGCACTCACTCACACACAGCACTCACACAGCACTCACCCACACAGCACTCACCCACACAGAACTCACCCACACACAGCACTCACCCACACAGCACTCACGCACACACACAGTACTCACCCACACAGCATTCACGCGTGCACTTACACAGCGTGCACACACAGCACCCACACACAGCACTCACACAGCACTCACGCACACAGCACTCACACACAGCACTCACGCACACACAGCACACACACAGCACTCACACAGCACTCACCCACACAGCACCCACGCGTGCACTCACACAGCACTCGTGCCAGGCTAGGTGCACTTTGATGCCGTCGCGTGACATGGGCGCGCTACAGGCAGGAAGAGAGCCGGGCAGCGTGAAATCCCTCGCACTGACCCACGCACACCCACGCACACCCTCGCACACACCCACGCACACACACACCCACGTACACACACACACATGCACACACCCACGCATGCACACGCACACACCCACGCACACACACCCACGCACACTCACGCACATGCACACCCACTCCCACGTACACCCACACACACACGCACACCCACGCACCCCACGCACATGCACACCCACTCCCCCTCGCATACCCCCCCACGCACACACACACACACCCACGCACACACATTCATCATTCCCACCACGCAAACACACCCATCCATCATCCCTCCCAAGCACGCACACACCCACGCATACACCCCCCCACGCACACACACGCAAAACCCCATTCATCACTCTCCCCACGCACACACACACCCAAGCACATCCGCAGCACACCAATCACGCGCACACATATCTATTACACTCCCCATGCATGCACGCACACACACACACCCACCTCCATGCACACGCACGCACACCCGCAATGCACCCCCACGCACCCCCGCAATGCACCCCCACGCACACCCGCAATGCACCCCCACGCACACCCGCAATGCACCCTCACGCACACCCGCAATGCACCCCCACGCACGCCCGCAATGCACCCCCACGCACACCCGCAATACACCCCCACGCACGCACACCCGGCCACACCTGCGCGTGTCGCCTGTGCGCCCGGCCCGCCCGGGGCCGCTCCCCACGTCCCTCGCCCCGGGTCCCTCCTCCTCCTCTCTCTCCACCTCCTCCCCCCACCCCTCCGCCTCTTCCTCCTCCTCCTTTTCCCGCCATCAGCCGCTCCCTGCACAGCTGGAGGTGACGTCATGCGGGTGGGATCAGCAGTTGTGACGTCTTGGAGATGGGATCAGCTGTGACGCCAGGTGGGTGGGATCAGCTGTGGTGACGTCACGTCGGAGGGATCAGCTGTGTTGACGTCACGTCAGTATTATCAGCAGTGATGACGTCATGCGGGTGGGATCAGCAGTGGTGACGTCATGTCGGTGGATTCAGCTGTGTTGACGAGAGGGGGGTGGAATCAATTGTGGGGACGTCCCGTTAGTGGGATCGGCAGTGATGACGGCATACGGGTGGGATAGCTAAAGTGACGTCATGTCGGTGGGATCATTGTGGTGACGACCAATATCGATAAGTTCTTTTTGGGTTAGATCGCGTACATTTCTAAATGTTGTTAAAACCCGCCACCACCCGACACACCTGATGAAGCTGATTGTAATTTCTAGCGAAACGTCGTACTCAGATTGTAAATGTCGCTTGGCTCTCCAACACACCGGTTAGTGCTGTACTAGTGACGAATTGGCACGTTCTGTTTACGTGACAACCCTTACTCGTTGGCTGTTTCAGTTTTCAGTTTCATTTATTCGGTATAGCCCTGTGAGCCATTCGGCTCTTGAATCGGGTGCAACCGCAACAAACAAAAAACATGAACAAGAAAACATCTTAAAGTGACTATGTGACTAAGTGCAAACAGAAAATTCGGGAAAAAAAACAACAAAAATTTCAGAAAAAAAGCACCGTAGACCAACGCTGTGTGCAAAAATTCCAGTGGGATGCAAGTCAAACAACAACAACCACAAGACAACTTAGATTAAGGCCATCAGTCTAACTCCGTGCTACAATAAACAAACATGGCCAAACCAAAAAGATGTGTCGGGTGGTGGCGGGTTTTAACGACACATTTATATATTTACGCGATAACCCCCCAAAAAAACTATCATGAATTATTAATGATAAATACATTATAGGCTTCACTCTTTTCGGCAATATCGGAGCTGTGAAGATTGTGTTAGGACAATGCATTTATTATCAAAACACGTTTGCATATTTACCACAAGAATGTGTGTATGCATTACTTCTTTGAACTTAATCGGATGTCTGGTTAAAGAAGATTATTTGGTGATTGAACATCTGCACACCTATTCGTGTTATTGTCGGAGAGGATAAATTCGATTAATTTTTTCGTAATTTTGATACCGGCCAAAAGAGTCCCAACAGTTATTGATTAAGTTTTAGAGCCAACACTTCTCCCACTTTTCACCCAGCCAACTGGAGAGTAACACAGGCTTAGTGTTTCTGACATGACATTAAACTATCAATTGCATATTTAAGTAGCACTGTTAAGCGACGAACATATATAATACTAGCTGTACTACCCGGCTTCGCCCGGGACTTGGATTCACCACGCCCAACCACCTTTGTCCCCCCAGTGGCGATGTTCACGCACCAGTTACTCGTTTGAGGCTGAGTCGACCTAGGGGAGGCCCAGGACCAGTTCAAATAATCGTCACCGGTGGTGGCCGTGAGCGGGAATCGAACTCGGGTCGCCGGGTTTGTAGCGCAGCGCGCTAACCACTACACTACAATGCGTTACGCTTCCACATGCGCGGGTCACCTGACAGATTTGACCTCACTGCTCACTTGCCGTGTAAAAAAAATCTATGCATTATTGACCCCCCCCCTCCCCCTTAAAAAAGTGTATTTTTATAAATTTTGCATGGATAACAGTCTGGAAAGTACCCACATGGCAAATTTCAAGTTTGTTGCATGTCGGGAAGTACGCTAAATATTTTGAACAGACACACACAATCACAACTTTGCCTTATATATATGGAGATGTATTACATATTAGATTGTCCTGCGCTGCCCTCTGCTGGCCGGACTGTGTTGCTGGCCGCGCTGAACGTGGCATGGCAGCCAGGGTTGGTGGATAACGCACGGATTGTGAAACTCCCTTCTACCCGAAGGCGGTGCAGCGAAGTGTGTGGACTAATCTCCATCTGTCCCTTCTGTATGGAATTGATTATTACCCCCTTGGCACGCTTCGACATCTGTGAAAAAGAGCTTTGTATCTCATCGGATTCCTCCAGTATGAATAAAGATTCTAATTTCGGTTCTTTGCGTGCTCCGGTTTTCCTCCACATGTCTTAATACAACTCGTGATTTGGCTGAAAGCATCTTAATGTAAAGATGACTGCAGATCTTTGTTGGATGCTGGCTCACCCGCCTGGCTGCTGTCCAGCTTGTGTGCGGTTCCTCAGGAATTGTGAAGTGCCATTTGGCATAAACGACTATGCTTTATGCAAAACTAAGCGTTATAGCTACTTGACAGTCATCTCTAGCAGGGCGACGCGCAGGTGGTGCATCTACCAGTCATCTCGGTCAACCCGTGGCACCTGGGCCTTTCCAGTGACCTTGTCAGCGAGCCACCCACACTTCACGTGACAGCCTCAAAGTGCACCAGGCCTGGCACCAGCAGCGTGGTTATGTTGCCGTCACTTAGTAGGGAATGACATCTACTGTTATATGTGTACTTATATACAGTTTGTACATAGATATAGATGTGGACATGTGCAAGTACATATAAACGGTATACTGTACTGTAATGTATTAGTAGCCACAATTGAAAATCGTGGTTTGCAATGTGATGAGAATCATCCTTTAGTTATAAGAATAGGGTTTCTCCTTTCTGGCAATAAAACAGGTGCTAAGATGTTAAAACACCAAACTGAAACGTTTTGCAAGGAATCATGTCTGTGTAGCGTGCCAATTCACAGACACTAGGAGGCAGTACTCTCTCTTTTATGTCGGCCTTCACAGTCCAAGGGGATAACTACACAGCCAACATGAACAGAGTGAAGATCACGACGATGACGGAACGACGACTTCCATTCCAGATTGCAGCAGCCCCGACTGTGAGTCGGAGCTCGGCTTTTATACTCCCCAGCGTGGCCAGGCTCGGCCCTGCACCCCTCTGGATCCCACAGAGGGCCCCGTGCATTGCCCACAGGTGCAACTGGTAGAACGGGCTGTTACCCCTAATTCTAATGTCTACCAATCTACCAGCGGCACGCGCTACAGTCACTCATTCAATGTCATTGCATTAACCACATATACTTGTGGTGAAAATACAAAAAAAAACATGCTCTGACAGTATATGCATTCTCTTTGGTTCTTTCGGTAAAGTCACGTGGAATAGAACAAAAAATAATATATCACGACGTTTCGATCGCAACACAAGCGGTCGTCCTCAGGCGGAAAAAATAATCCAGCAATGGAACTGCTGAACCAGCGAGAGAGCTGTTACAACAAGAGGCTATTTATGTGGCGATGGGCAGGCAAGCGGCGTCTGAGCTGGAAAGGAATTACATCCCCGCACGCAAGCACATCAATTGTGTTAATGGGGGAGATTAGGGAAAGAGAGATTAGGTAGAGAGATGAGCATGAAATGAGCTTCCGTCGCCGCATAAGAGTATCGTCCCCGCATATGCGCACAACAGCAGTGTTAATGGGAGATTAGCACTATGTTGATGGGAGAGATTAGGGAGATTAGAAAGTTAATGTCATGTCTATGTGTAACACAAGCTCCGACGCTGCCAACTGCGCTGTGAGGCAAGCACGTCGACGCAAGAAAACCACCACAATGGTGATCACGCCAGTGAGACACAGAGCCCATCACACAGCCAGAACCATCGATTCATCGAGGTTAAGGGAGCAGAGGTGGCCATGTTAGTGAGACCCCAGCCCGTTAATGCAGAGGCACCTCACAGGGCAATTCAATTCAGAGAGTCGGAGATAACAGCCAAACGGCAGGGAAGAATGGAAGCACCACAGCAATTTACGACTTTGCTTAGTTAAGATTTCTCCATGAAAACATTCGCGACCACTTGTGATAAGGGAGAACCCAAAGGGGTACCTTCATTTTGTTTGTAGAATGTATCATTCCAGATAAAGTAAGTGTTGGTAAGGCAGTGCCTCACCAAAGTTGGTACATCAGGATTCAGTCCCTGTTGGACCAAGTCTTCAATGATTGATATGGTGTCAGGTACAGGTACCTTGGTGAACAGAGATACTATTTCGAAGTTGACAAGCAAATCATCTGGACATAGTGAAATGTCCTTGATTAGAGAAACCAAGTGAGCTGAATTAAGTTTAACACGTAGGCTTTCGCGACCCAAAAACGTTGATTATGAGCTGAATTAAGTACTGCTGAGGTGGTCTTGCCCGTGAATGGAAGCAGGGTCTCAGACAGAAATCGGGCCAGTTTGTAGGTAGGTGAGTTGATGGTAGAAACGATAGGACGGGACGGAGTGGAGTACCTTCTTTATGTATTTTTGGAAGACCATAAAATCTGGGTGGTCTAGCAGCCGAAGGTTTTAGAGAGAGCTGCTTGGTCGGTTCGATTAGAGAAGTCGAATTAGTGATGATATTGTTGGTCTTTGTAGCCAGGCGGTTGGTAGAATATTTGTTGATTTTAGTATAACTGCTATCATTAACACATTCCTGCGGAGGGAGCTGGTAGGAACGTTGGGTTACTCGGTCAATGGCCAGGGTCAACGGCGGCGTGGTGTATTCCGCAAATATTCCCGACTGTGAGGGCGGGCACAAGCTGACGTGAGTAGGTTAAACGTTGAGTTTTATAAGGGCACCACGGGGTGACCAGCCCCTCCCCACCCAGCCCCACCCCTCCCACCCCCCACCCAGCCCCACCCTCCCCACCCAGCCCGTCCCCACCCTCCCCACCCAGCCCCTCCCCACCCTCTCCTCCCCACCCAGCCCCTCCCCACCCTCCCCACCCAGCCCCTCCCTCCCCACCCAGCCCCTCCCTGCACGACGGACGGACACAATAATCCCCTATGGGATGGTGGAACCAGTGGGTTCCTACCAG